GTATGTATATATGTATATGTATATATATATGACCATCTTAAAAAGCAACAAGACAAGTGTATATCTTTAATACTGGGACCCCATGAAACTGAAAAGCTCCTGTGAAGCAAAGGATGCTGTCAAAGGGACAAAACGGCAGCCAGGAAAAGATCTTCAAACCCTACTTCTGAAGAGGGCTGTTATCCACAGTATATGAAGAACTCAAGAAACTAGACATCAACAAACCAAATAATCCAATTTTTTAAATGGGGTACCGATTTAAACAGAGAATTCTCTAATGGCCAAGAAGCACTTAAAGAAATGGTTAGTCATCAAGGAAATGCAAATCAAAACAATTCTGAGGTTCTATTTTATACCTGTCAAAATGGCTAAGATCAAAAACATAAGCAAAAACTCATGCTGGTGAGGATCTGGAGCAAGGGGAACATTCCCCCACTGATGGTGAGAGTGTATACTTGTACAGCCACTTTGGAAATCAATATGGTGGGTTTTCAGAGAGTTGGGAATTGATCTACCTCAAGACCCAGCGACATGAAGACTCCTAAGCACAGACCCAAAGGCTGTCCCACCATATCACAAGCACGCTTGCTCACCTATGTTCATAGCAGCTTTATTTGGGTAGAGTGTCGGGGTGGGGGTTGTTCTGGATAGAGGGGTGGGAATGGGAACCAGAGGGACCGAGTTCGGGGAGGACAGAAGGAGAAAGTACTGGAAGAGACCACTGGAATGGGGGAGCATCTCTGGAATGAGCAAGAAACCTAGTGCAATGAAAACTCCCAGGAAGCTATGAGGGTAGATGACCCTAGCTAAGACTTCTAAAAATAGGGGCCACAGAGCCTGAACTAGCCACCTCACGTGGCCAGGCGAGACATCCTGTGGAGGGGCTGGGACACCAACCCAGCACAAAAGCTCCAACCTATGATTTGCCCTGCCTACAAAATGTGCTGGGGTAAAGATGGCCCAGAAAGGTGGGAATGGCCAACCATAACGGTCCAGCTTGAGACCCAGGCCACGAGAGGGAACCCACCCCTGACACTGACTGGAGGACCAGGACCCTGAGGCTGGAAAGCCCAGAGACCTGGGATAGAATGGAACACAAACGGGGGAAATAAAAATCAACGAAATGATTCCTGATGATAGTCTGCTCTACTCAGACTGGTGCCTAGTCCCATTGTCGTCGGAGAGGCTTCACCCAGCATCTGATGGAAACAGATGCAGAGACCCACAGCCAAACAGTAGGCAGAGCTTGCAGAATGCTGCGGAGGAGGGAGAAGGAGGATTTTAATAGCCAGACAGGTCAAGGACACCACAAGAAAACCTACAGAACCAACTAACCTGGGCTCGTAGGGACTCACAGAGACTGAACCGACAACCGGGGAACCTGCATGGGACTGCCCTGGACCCTCTGCACATACAGTACAGCTGTGTAGCTTGGTCTTCTTATGGGACTCCTCACAGTGGGAGCAGGAGCCGTCTGCCTCTGCTGTCTGCTTCTGGGACCCTTTTCTCCCACTGGGTTGCCTCTTCCAGCTTTAATAGGAGAGGAGGCGCCTAGTCTCACTGCAACTTGATATGCCAAGGCTGTATCCATGGGAGACCAACCCTTTTCTGAAGAGTGGATGGAGGGGTAGGGCAGGGAAGGGGAAGAGAGGAGGGAGGGGACACTGTGGTCAAAAAAAAAGAAAGAAAAAAAAAGCATATTCCTAGTACACAAGTACATCCAGGTTCGGTGATACATGTCTATCTGTATAAGACACTTAGGAAGCTCAGGGAGGAGGACGTTGGGCCTGGATTACTGGGCTGTACTGAGAGTTAGTCACTCTCAAAAAAAAAAAAAATATTAATGACTACCTAAAAAGCCAGACATTAACTCCCTTTCAGCAACAAATGAGTTAAATAGTGACAAAACCTGCACATCTACCTAAGGGGCAGAACAAACATTTAGTGACTCATACAGGCCCTTGATGTCAACTGAAAATTAGAGTTGGTTTCTTTGGAAGAAAAAGTGGGAGGAGGGGGCTTTAAAATTACTCCTTTAAGAGATGAAAAAAATAAATGCCGTCTGGTCCCAATTTCAAAGTCAAGTGCTTCTTGTTCCCTAAAATCCGAGTCATGAAAGGCAGAAGCAGACAGATCTAAATGAGTTCAAGGCTAGCCTGGTTCAAATACCAAGTTTCAATCAGGCCAAAGCTACATTAAGAACACCTGTCTCTGAAAAATAAAATAAAATAAGATCACATCCCCATGAGATTTACTTCTCTAAAATTCAGTTAAAAACGAAATCCCCCAACTGATCGAGATAGCATCTGATTGTAATCAGAGACTCTCAACTTTACTAACCCGACCTTAAACTTGTAAATGTATTTTGTTGTAGTTGTTCTTTAAAACGGGGAGAGGGGACAAATTTCAGAGAGCAATTATCATCGGGTTTAAAGAATTTACTTGATGAAAAGACGGAAAACATCTCAGCTTTGGAAGGTGGGGGATCAGAAGTTCAAAGTCATCTTCATTAACAGGTTTGACGCAAGCCTAGATTGCCTGAGACAGACGCGGGGCGCGCGGCGGGGAGAGGGAGGAGTCTCTACTCCGTCTTTGTAACTTCTTAAAGACGGTTTCGAATCTGCTAAAAACTAGTTCAAACATCATACTAAAGTCTTACACGCCAAGTCTTTATTTGCTGTGGTAATGGAAGAATGTAGCTGGCATGTTTGATTTCAATCCTCATCGATGCCAAAGTGTTGAGTCAATGATTTCACACGGGGCCCCCCAAAAACGACGAGAAACGAACAGGCTGAGACTGAAGCCCATTTGTTTTCCCAGGCTCACTCTGTGGACCAGGCAAAAAGAGGGGTCTTGGCAGAGAAATGGGGGACACAAACAAGAAGTATGGAGCAGTCTAAACTAAAACAGACCATCCCGATTAAGAGAACTCCTGGAACGCAGGAGAAGGAAGGAAGAAAAAAGAAGAAAACAGTTTTGCATTTTCAGCCCTCGGACTCCGTTCCAGAATTCCACAAGGACTGCCAAAAGCAACGGCCTTGGAACCAATTAACCATCACCGCGACCTTCCGCGTCAACTCCCGGGAGGAACCTCGTTCCAGCTCAGCACTGACCCCACTAGAGAGACAGGGAGAAGGGCGACCGCATTGCAAGTGAGGGAATCGGAAGCCCTGGGGGAGCCGGGCGAGCTGGTCCGGGGGAAACTCCAAGGGAGCTGCACGAGAGAGTGCAGACGGCGCGGGATGCACGGCGCCTGCCCAGCTAGGGGACCCGATCCTGAACCCCGCCCTCGCCCGCCCAGCCGGGAGACCCCAGCCCGCCCCTCCGTCGCCCTCGCCCCTGACCTGTCCCCGCGGGGTCCCGGTGCGCAGCGCGCCGCCTCCATACTCGCCCAGCCGGTGGCATCAGAGTCCAGACCCCGAGCCGCTGCCGCCGGGCTGGAGAGGGATGGAGGGGGTCGGGCCCCGCCCCTGGCAACCACACCCCGCACTGTCGCCGACGCCCATTGGTCCAGTGCCCGCCGTTCCCTTCTCACTGGCTAAAGGAGCCAGCCACGATGCTGGAGGGTTTCCAGGGAGGCGGGAGGCACCGGGAGGCGAAGGCGCGTGCGCTGGAGCGGGGTGCGGCCCCCGGGACTGGAGCCCAGCTAGCTCTCGGCCCGTCTCCATCTGCTCCATTCCGGGGCCGCCCCCGACAGAGCGACTCCAGCACCCCACTGTGACAATGAAAACATCCGTGGCGCTGCCAGGGTGTGCTGTTGCCCCAAACCTCGCAGTCTGACCCTCCTCGGGATACCAGAGGCCCTTCAGCCTCCCCGCCCAAAGCCCGACTCAAGGACCCTTACCTGGGGGCCATCTTCAAATGTCCCTGTTCCCGTAAGGGGACTCTAAGTTATGCCTCCAGCGATCAGTTCGTTTCTGACTCTGGTCTCTATAAGACTTTCTGACCAGAGCTATTGCATATAGATTTAATTAGTAAGGCCAAAGTTACATTGGTGTTGAATTAAAAAATTCACTTAATGTACTTGAGACAGGATCTTGGTATATAGTCCTAAGCTGCCTTGAAACTCAGAGATCTGACTGCCTCTGCCCCACTAGCGCTGGAATTAAAGACGTGTCATCATGCCCCAGGCTATTTTATTTCCATGTTTTGCCTATGTGTATGTCTACATATCATATGCATAGTGCCCAAGGCTGATATATACCCTAGAACTGGAGTTGTAGATAATGAGGCACCCTGTGGGTGCTGGGAACAAAGGACCCTGTGCCTTCTGGGCATCCAGGGCTCATAACCGATGAGTCACCTCTCCAAGCCCCAGAAATTAACTTTTGAAAATTAGGAAATACAGAACCTGCACACATAGGCTAGAATATAACATTACACTCACTTAGGCCCCTCCTGTGTGACCCAGGATTGCTTCGTTCTTTGTTTGTTTTGTTTTGTTGTGCTTCAAATCCTCACCCGTTTAAGGGCAACAGAAGCTCTGCTTGGCCTAGAAGGGGCTGGATGGTAAATGAGTAGGTCTGAAAGAGATGTCATTGTGTGATTAAGAGGACCACCGAGACAGGCACTTCCACAGGAGTCACGTTAGAATGTGCACTTCGGCTTTAAGAATTCATTTCCGACAGGCTCAGTGGCCCACGCCTGTAATCCCAGCACTCAGGAAGCAGAGGCAGGCTGATCTCTGTGAGTTCATGGGCAGCCTGGTCTACAAAGCAAGTCTAGGACAGCCAGGGCTACACAGAGAAACCCTGTCTTGTATGTGATATTGCCATATTTCTTCCAGTGTAAACACAATCTCAAAACACAAACCTAAACTACTCATCTGTCCCCTCTCTCCCCTGACCCAGAGCCGTGGCCCTTTGGGCAGAAGAGACAAAGCTGTACAGGTAGTTGTCAACCATTAAAAACTAGAGCTCATCTGATTTTCTCCATCAGCAAAGTAGTCACTGAAGTCTCCCGATTGGTACCAAAAATGCGGAATGAATTGAGGCAGCAGACTGGAGAGCACAAACCTTTTATAGATGGACCGTGCAGCTGCGTTTCTGACAAAGATAGGGATCTCTAAAAACTCAGGGCAGTCATTTATTCACAAACATTGTAAACAGTATAAGATACTCCACAGGTTTAAGGGGTAATATGAGAAAAATACCAATAGTTCATGACACTAAATTCAACTGTCCCTGATGCGAGGTGGCTTAAAAAGCAAATCTAGAAACAGAATTCTAGTGCTAGGCCTCTAGCTAACTCGTCCTCCTACTGGTGTTCATTCCATTTTATTCTTTCAAGCCAGAGAAGTGACTTTAGAAACCTAACCATGAGCAGCTTTGCAATGGACGGAAGCCTGTGAAATCCAGTCAGATTTTCACAAGGAACTGGCTTTCGTCCAGCTTCCCTCTCTCCTTAAGATAGGCGAACAGGTGTCTTCTGCGTCTCCAAGTGACCTTTACCCCATACTTCTCTTCAGGGGTGTCCCTGACCAGCACAGGCCCCGGCTCTGGGCTGTTGGGAGTTCTAGGGCCAAGGATGCAGCTTGGAAGACTGTTTTCCTTCTGGTCTGGGGAAATGGGATCTTCTCTCACAGATGACCCCGGGGTCTGGATATCAGGGGCTGTAAACACATGAGGTAAGCTTTGAAGTGCATTCACTGACAGTTCCCCACAGCTCTGGGGACTGAACAGGGGCACCAAAGGCATTCTGGGAATGTCCTTTTCTGAGTGACGGGGCTCTTCTCTGTTCAAGGATAGCAATAGTGTCTCTGAACAGGAAGCCTGTGGACTCTCAAAGGTTAGACATGGAAACTTGCAAGAAGATCTTCGAGTTTGGTGTCTTGCCCGGTCCCGGTGATGCTTCCGGTGTGCTGGACAGCGGTTTTCTGTGGCTGTATCAAACTGAGGCAATACCTGTGTCATAAAAAACGGGTGGGCCAATTACCAAAGAAACTATCCCATGGATAGACTCCTTTATTTTTGTCCAGAATCACGAGGGCTCACTATAATAAAGGACAAAACCCAACCAACTTTATGATGTAATAACAAGGTAAGAGCTTTGGGCTAGCTATGCAATCTTTCTCCCTTTCCGGTTGCTCCCAAGGAAGAGAGCAGACAAGGCACTCTCAACCACACTACACTACCATGGCTTCCTTCACGTCTGTCGTTAAACTTCATGAAAGCAGGCTTGGAAGGAGGGGATGGGGTTAGAAGCCATGCTTAGCATACTCAGCAATTCAGTCCTCAGAAAAACAAAGTCCTCAAGAGATGAAGACTTATTCCCAACACTTAGCAGACTGCCTGGGAAGGGCTGCAAAATACTGAACGACAGCTGCAAGAATAGGAAGTGAGGCTGTATTCAGGAATGGGACCTAGTACACAGTGTTTATTCAGTCATTTGGACAGCCTCACCATGGAGTCCAGGCTGGCCTTCAACTTGAGATCCTTCTGCCTCAGCCTCCCAGATGCTAGGATTACAGGTGTGCCCCACCATGCCATTTTTGTAGGATTTTTCTCCACTAGGGTTGAGTCCATTCGTAGAGTACCTAGTATTTTTCATATGAATTACAGGAAATAATCTTTTATAAGTTTGCCATCTTTCTAGCATCTTCCAGTTATCAGGTAGTGAAATGTTCTCTCAGAACTTTTCAGAGGGACCCGGTAGGGAAGACTCCAATTCTATATAACACACATTTTGGTCTGAATGAAGAAAAGAGGATATAGCAAACAGGTCAGGTAACCACAGCCAGAAAGAATAACTGCTTCCCTGTCCCTGCTCCAAGAGGATTAAGAGTCAGTATTCTGAAGACCCTAAAGTGGTAAAGGTCAAAGAATTGCAAAGACCTACCCAGGAAGTGGCGGTGTCCCGATCAATGGGCTTGCTGGGCACTTGCACAGTGTGGGTAATGGGCTGCTGGAAAGAGTCATAATGGTGTTTGGGGCCCTCCAGTGGCTGCTGGTGGAAGAGCAGCGGGGCTTTCGGTGTCTGTCTGCGGCTTCTCTTTTTGGGAGGCATCAATAAGTGCGTGAAGAGTAGTTGGTAACCACATGATGCAGGTTGCCTTCCTGGTCTGGGTCAAGGTCCAGCTGCAAATCATGCCTGGAGAGAAGAAACAAAAGCTGGGGAATCATGTGGGTGATTCCCCCATTTCTTCATGACACCAAGTTAGCCAATCTCCCAAAAACTACCATTCACACCTCAGGTTGTGGAGAAAACAGTTTCCTAGACCATCATGCAAAACATATTATTTCATCCATATTCAACAACACTCATTCAAGGAACACCTGCTGCTGAACTCAAATTATTGTGCCACGCTGAGAGCTAGGGATTAAAAACAGACAAGTACATATTCAACAGCCCTTACTGAGTACTAAGGGCCTGCAGCGATACAGAGGCCCGTTTTTGAGGCACAGTAGCATAGCACTTGCCTAAAATGCATAAATCCTTAGGTTCAATCCCTAGCACTGCAAAAAGAAAAAGTGAAAAGGAAGGAAGAAAAAGATCCAAAAGTTGGATGTCCTGGACTCAATTTGTAGACCAGGCTGGCCTCAAACTCACAGAGAACCTTCTGCCTCTGCCTCCTTGAGTGCTGGGATTAAAGGCGTACACTACTGTGGCTGGCTGGGAGTGGAAAGTTTAACAGAAAGAAATAATTACATTTCAGTATAACACAGTTTGATTCCATTCCCTTCAGAGAAGGCTTTCTGGGTAGGAAGACACCTACCCTGTAGATGAAGAGCTGGGAGAAGCAAGGCCACTTTAGGCTGAGAAGCACCATATGCAAAAACAGTTATAGCTGGGCATGGGGAACATGCTAATTATCCCAGCTGAGCAAGAGATCAGGGGTTCAGTTCTAGCTTGGGCTGCACACAAAAACGTTCCCTGAGACGCCAAACCAAGCTGAGTGTGGTGGTAAGTGCCTGTGATCTCAGCCTCAGGGAGGCAGAAGAATCAAGGAGCTCAAGCTATCTTTGGCTAGTGTGAGGCCAGCCTGAGTTACATGAAACCTTAAACAACCAGAAAGCTACTATACCAGAGAACTACAAGCTCACTGCAAACAGAGGATGAAACATAGCTCAGCAGTAAAAGAACTTGCCTTAAAAACCAAGGGCTTAGGCTGGAGAGACGGCTCAGAGATTACAAGCACTGTCTGTTCTTTCAAAGGTCCTGAGTTCAATTCTCAGCAACCACATGGTGGCTCACTACCATCTATAATGAGATCTGGCGCCCTCTTCTGGCGTGCAGGCAGAATACTGTATAAATAAAAAAAATCTTTCTTAAACAAAAATCAAAAATACCAAGGGCTTGAGTTTGATCCCTAGAACTCACTCACACACACAAAATCGATTCCAAAAAGATGTCCTCTGACATCTCCATGTGGGGCATATGTCCCCCTCCCCCCTCTCCCCCCTCATCACTCACACACAATGTCACCCTCTGTGAGGCTGTGAATATCCAGCTAATAAACAAAAAAGAAAAGAAAAAAAAAAAAAAAAGGCTAGGTGTGGTAAAATACTTTTTTAAAATCCCAGCACTCAGGAGGCAGATTTCTGTGAGATGGAGGTCCGTCTGGTCTACACAGTGAGTTCTATGCCAGTAGGAGATACAAAGTGAGACCCTATTTTTTTTTTTT